ATTTTTATTTAATTTAGCCCCCTTGGATACAAAAAGATTTATATATATGAAATACTGCAACTTTTTCTAGCAAGATATGTATATTTATAAAGATTTTTCTATTCATAATTATTATAAAAATTTTTTTATGTTAGCAAATTTAATTTCTATCCTTGAAGGAATATTACTTATTGTTCCTGCTTTAATATCTGTTGCATTTGTAACAATAGCTGAAAGAAAAACTATGGCTAGTATGCAAAGAAGAGTAGGTCCTAATGCTGTAGGTTATTACGGTTTATTACAAGCATTTGCTGATGCTTTAAAATTATTATTAAAAGAATATGTTGCTCCAACACAAGCTAATATTGTTTTATTTTTCCTTGGACCTATTATAACTTTAATTTTTTCTTTATTAGGTTATCTTGTTGTACCTTTTGGACCTGGTTTATTTGTTTCAGATTTTGATTTAGGTATGTTATATATGTTAGCTGTTTCTTCTTTAGCTACATATGGTATCTTATTAGCAGGTTGATCAGCTAATTCTAAATATGCATTCTTAGGTTCTTTAAGAAGTACAGCTCAATTAATTAGTTACGAATTAATATTAAGTTCTGCTATATTATTAGTTATATTATTAACAGGTACCTTAAATTTAATTTCTATTGTAGAGTCACAAAGAATTATACCTTTCTTATATCCATTATTTCCCTTATTTTTAGTTTTTTTTATAGGTTCTGTTGCTGAAACTAATAGAGCTCCTTTTGATTTAGCCGAAGCTGAATCTGAACTAGTAAGTGGTTTTATGACAGAACACTCTGCTGGAATTTTTGTTTTCTTTTTCTTAGCTGAATATGCAAGTATTGTTTTAATTTGTATATTAAACAGTGTTTTATTTTTAGGTGGTTACTCAAGTATTATTCCTTTAGATTTTTTAGTTTATGTTTTAAGTTTATTTTTTGATGTAAATAATAGTAGTTTCTTATTCGATGTACTTGTTTCTATGTCATCTTCTTGAATAAATTTAGCTTTAAAAACAGCTTTTTTAATATTTGTGTTTATATGAGTTAGAGCTTCTTTCCCTAGAATTCGTTTTGATCAATTAATGTCAGTTTGTTGAACTGTATTATTACCAACTATTATAGCTTATGTGGTTGTAATGCCCTGTATAGCATACGGGTTAAACATTACACCCTCCAACTTTTGCATTCTCTAGTGTGGATATTATTATGTATTTTTCAATTGTTATACTTTATACTCTTATTATAACTTATCATAGGTTTAAATACGAGTTAAAATATTTATTTATAAATTGTTACTTAGTTTTCTATATTAGTATTATAAATTATAGAGATAATTATTCACATAAGATTCTTTTAATAGAAAGATTACCTTTATTACCTTTTTTATTTATATCTTTATTAATTTTAATTAAATCTGGTTATCTAAGTACAATTTCTTTAATTGCAATTATGAGTTTTATAATTTTATATATTATTTTAGGTTCATACTGATTTATTGATATAAAGAATAATAATCTTAAATTATTTATTTATATTATTAATATAATTTTTTACATGTTATTCTTTTTTATGTTAAGAAAATTCTTAATGTATGATTTTGATATAGGTTCTTTTATTGTTGAGATGTCTGGACTAGGAGGAAATAGTCCTGGACCTTTTAATAATCCAGGTAATGGTGGGTTTAATAACGGAAATCAACCTCCTCATTTTAATAATAATAATACTTTAACAACTCTTGGTAATAATAATAATAATGATCGTAGTGATTTAGAAGATCTTTTTAGTAATGATTTTGGTATTACTATTTTAGATGAGTATACTAATACTTTATGTGATAAATTTACTGAAAATTATCTTGTAGGAACTCAAACTGAATTACTTACTTATGATATTGATGTAATAGCTAGAGATGTACCGTATTTTAAACATTATTTTATATTAAAACAAAGAGAATTACCACATTTATCTTTAAGTTGAGAAAAATTTTGTGAATTTTATCTATGTACATGGGAAAAAAATCCAATGGGTATTGCTGGAGATTGAGGTAATTATCAATATATTATGGAAAATCCTCAAAATAGAAGACGTACAAGTCCGACTTTTAGAAAAGTTTTTGAAGGTCTTACTTACGAACAATCTGAACATTATATGTTAGTTTTAAGTAGAATAGATGGTATGAATAGAAGATAATATTAGAGATATTATATAATAATAATAATAATATATAAATATAATATATATTTATATATTATATTTTATATATGTGAAAATTAAAGATAACAAGCAATATAGGAGTATAATATACTAATAAAAAAGTATAATTTCTAAATTGCAATATAAAAATTATTTAAAA